GAGAGAGAGAGAGAGAGAGAGAGAGAACACACCATATTAAATTTGGGCATAACTATTTTTTTGTTTCACTAACTAACTTGGAAATAATAACAAAGCACACAATAAGCAAAATCCTAGGCGCATAAACATAAATGTTTTTGGTGTCCTGGATACCATGATCATGTGGGGGCCCAACCGTCATCTTTTATTTCAATACCTTAAAGAAAAAGAGTCTGCAAGGACCTTTCAAAATGGCCTAGAAAAAAAGATCCAATACACTAGAATGAAGAGATGTCTAGACCCTTTTTATGCATGAAATACACAGATAAAAGAAGTGAGAAGGAACACATGATTTCTAAGATCCTCATAAAGTACATCAAAACGAAATTACACCAACAAATGGTTAAAATCCCATGCACAAATAGGCGCCATACAATACATTCAGGATCAATCAAGGAAAACCATATAAACACCTACAGGCCTAACAATCAGGTCAAAACTTGGATGAGCTATATCTATTAACAACAGAGAGTTTTTGTGCCATATACAGCTAAGAAAAGGCATAATACTCATGACTGATTATGTTTACTTTTGTTTCAAAGACACACAGTCTTTTGGTTACAGTTAGGATGCAAATAGACTATCTTTACCAATGGAGGATCATTGTTGCTTATCAATGTTAGACAAAGAATATACCTTTTCCGCCCAACCAGAAGAGTGTTCCAGGCACTTGTAAGTGCAGGATCTACATGCCATGATGCACCAGACCTTTCAGGCCCAATAATTAACCACCTAAAAGATGGTCGTTCTGATATATCCAGGACATCAAATAGGTCTTCTTCAAAGAGATGAGGTACAGCATAATCTTTCAACAAACCTGGTGCAACTTCCACAAACTGCACAAAAGAAATGGTAACTATAAATGCTTTTCTCCAAGTAAGAAATTTTTGTTTTTGAGAAAAATCTTTTAAATTTAACTTACCTTCTCATCAAAGATGTAAAGAGGATCCTCATCATGTTGAGATTTCATATATGAGATGTAATCCTTAAATTTCATAACGATTTTCTTTGCACTTCTCTGAGAAAGCCGAAATGAAGTTTCTCCATAATTCTGAAGTAAATAATCTGTAGTCCATTTGCTTTTTGCAGGCCAATTATTGACCAATTCAGTTAGCAAAACCTGTATAAAGTGTTTAAACTGTTCAATATTAATGGGGCAGTAAAGTTTATCTTCCAAACAATAATCAGACGTGGAAGAAACCACATCCTGAAAAAAAATTCAGATGTTGAACTTCATTTCCAGGTTGTACTGATCAAAATGGACTTCATTTCAGATTCTGAAAACAAAAAGTACTCTATTAAAGGCAAAAAAGACTCAATCAAATAGTTAAACATATGAATGCAAAGGATTTTGTATGAAGCTAGGATTACTAGCACGGATAATTGGCCAGTATTAGAACTGGCAGTAAAATATCTGACACTCCAGGTTCACGAAGGAAAAAACTTCATCATAGCCATAGGATTGCTTAGCAAATAAGTGCAGAGTTTCTACCAGAAATAACAAAGCCAATTTTGCAGCAACTAGAAACAGATTTACCGGTATCTGCCCATCATAATGAGCATAAAACTCCTCAATAGAGAGGTCTTTTCTCCTATCCACACCTCTGTCAATGGAAAAATCATTCAACATAGTAAAACACCGATACCACCTTCTATACAGGAACAAAGAATTGAATCCTGTAAAAAAGGAAAACTTATCAATATTAATGATGGAAAAGAGGAAATATTTAAAAGACTTACCGATAGATACATAATGACCCAGAAGGTCAAGCAATTATTACCGTCAAATGTCAAAGGTTTTCTGCAAGATTCTGAAACTTCGTTGGAAAGACGTAAACTGTCCAGAGTAAAACAGACTTGATGAGATGCCAACTGGCCAAATGTTACAGAATATATGCAAGTCTATAAGCAGCAACAAATAATAAATGTTATTACTACTAAGTTAGGAGTCTCAGCCCATTTTAAATGCAACCATTTATCCACAGATCTTCATTAATTCCAAATCCATGAAGAAGGTCCCCACGATTCAATCCTTGCTTCACTGGGCAACAATTACGTTTATTCAAATGAAACAAAAATCTAGGAAAGTGATCTACGCAGAGTACTTACTGGTGTATAGCAGTCTTTTTCCAGGAACCTCTGTACTCGAGCAGGCCCTCAGCATTGGCGAGACATAGGTTCATCCAAAGTGGCTCTTCATTGCAGAATATATACATAACACTGCAGATTTTAAAACACACTTCAGATTGAGGATGCAAAGTGGTCAAATTTCTAAATAACCAAATTCCAGTCACCTCAACCCTAAATAACAGTTTCTGCTTTAAAGATTTCGTATGAAATATATGTGGCTTCTTAGACATTCTCAAGTAAGGAAAAAGAATAGTGAAGCCTAGAGAATGATCAGAAAGCAAGAAAATAGAGGGTTATTTAGTGAAGAGTATCAACCAAAATATTCCCCAAAAGACACAAAATGTATATAAGATTATCTGATGAAAATGCAGAGACCTATTACTGTAGATACAAGCATAGGGACTAGTAAAAAGCTGGCAGGTATCTCCTCAATCATCTCTTGATTAGGAGGGTATCATCAAGGGAAAGTACAATGTGATAGAGCATTGACAGCCCATGACGGAAATGTGTTCAAGATTCAAGAGCCCAGCATTTCCTTCTTTTATAGGTGACTGTTTCAAATTTCCATGAACACGTATAAAAATGTACAAGTCTGAGTAGATGAGAACTACACTTTGGCAAAAATTTACAATTTAAAGGAAAAGTAGACAAAAAATAGAATGGTGAACAGTTTATAAGAATCACGGGCTATTGGAAATGTGAATGATCAATGAAAATTGAGAACCCTCTCTCTAATCATCTAGTCTGATTCAAAATCCTAGAATTGTCAACATGATAGATCATGAGAAGACCTAGGATTATGTGGAAAGGTGCTTTTACATGCATACAATGAGATGTGATTTAGATTCAGTAGATTCGATATGTGCACGGTTAAATGTTCACAATGTCTACTCTGATAGATTTTTTTTTCCCTTTTTGTCTGGATATCTGGAGGCCTAAGACAAGAGGACCTGACATTCCGTACTCATCTTTATGATTGACTCCATCAGTATGCCATTTCAGAAAAGAGTAAAGTTAGAATGCATTATGGGGGGCTTCCCCTAGTAGAACTCCTACATATTCAAATTACAGGTTAAGAAGTGGGTGCTTAACGGATGAATTTGGAAGTAACTACAGACATCCAACAATACATATCATGCCTCATTGCAAATGTGACCATTGATACCATTAGGCACCTATGGTCTCTAACATGACCATCTCTTTGAGGATGAACTTGACAACAATGATTTCATTAGGCAGGACATGTGGTTATAACTAGTGCACTGACTATTTGCACAAAGTTTGGAATTCTCAGAATGAAAGGTCAAGAAATTCACAACCACCACCACTTTATGCAGGGAGAGAATTCTTTTATCTTGATTTATCAGGGTTACATGCAGAAACGCTATGTAATTGCTAAGGAACAACCAGTCAGGGCATCCATAAGGTAGTTTTTCTTATTTTTTTATTTTTTATTTCCCCTGCTCTGTAATTCATTAGGAAGCTACTTTAAGAAGTGAAACTCGTATTGAGAATATAGAAGAGGGAAAATTAATACATAAGTAAACGAATTTACCCCAATCGCTGTATTTAATTGTAACTCCATGGTTGAACAAAATTATAAAAGAAAGTTACCAACTTTTCAAATATATTTATCCAATCTAGTGAATTCTACATCATTCTCAAATACCTCATTCTACTGATCCTTTGAGGCTTTGCATTATGGTTTTCCAAGAGTATTTATGATTGTGTTTCAAGATACAAAATTCAAAAATCTAATTCACTGTTTAATTGAAGAAGGCCAAAGGAATTGCCCATAAATTAAATGTCATTATCATAAAATTTAGCCTAATTCATTCAGTAAATTCCCATAACCTGAGATAAAACCATTAAATTCAACATATAAGACAGAATAAAAATTCTCTATTCATAAATCAGGAGAAAACAAACTAATTGGAAATGATTAGACGGCAAAAAGAAGATTGTGTGACCTGCTGACACAAGAAAGGCGAGCAACATCACGAAGAGAGAGAAAGTCGAGAATGGAGCAGATGAGTTCATCAGGGAGCACTCTCAAGTCTCCGAGGGCATCAGGTCTACGGTCTCTGTAACAACCTTCCATATCCCCAGCTGCTTTCTCAGACATACAAATGATCCCCCCCCCTCTCTCTCTAAGAAATTGGGAAGAACCAGGTGCCTTCTCTATCTCTCTCTAGTTTCTGCTATCGAAAAGATTGATCCTCTCTCTTTATCAGAGATGAAAATTGAAAGCTGCTTAGCGTGTAGAAGCAGCATCCGCAGGGGCGGGGAGGGAATTTAGAAGCGTTGGACGCGTTTCATGGAGGCCGTCGTTTCTACGTAGGGCAGGCAACAGGCCGGGCTTGGGACGGGACGCCCAGGCCTAACCGCTGTTCCCTTGAGGGCCGGGCCGGCTGGGATAAATTAAAAGAAAACAATAAAAAAAAGAAATAGTTTATATAAGATTGCAACTTTAAAATGTGGAACTACAGATGCACATAAAAAAATCCATCGAAAAAATTTATTTTAATGTTGAAAAACTGTCTTGATCTCGACATGGGGGCAGTTTGTATACAGATGCATTCGTAGTTGTAGAGGTAAGGTGCACTTTCAAATATATAATTTTGATGTAAAATATTCTTAGGATTATCTCAAATCTATTTTTATATCTAATTATAAAATTTTAAATTTCAAAAAATGGTTAAAATCAAGTAGATCTATAAACATACAAAAATCTTGAAAATGGACGGTGCATATAATATATTGTAAAATGCACTATTTTTAAGACTTAAAATCTTTTTATTTTTCATAGTCATACATCTCGATGTCGAGATGATCAAACGAAAGGTTTTCAACATTAAAACTACCTTTTTCGATGGATTTTTTAGGGGCAAAAGGTTTTCAACATTAAAACGACCTTTTTTGATGGATTTTTTAGGGGCATATGTAGTTCTACATTATAAAGTAGCATCTTTATATAAACTTTTTCCCTCGACATTGAGATGTATAACTATGAAAAAAAAAAGATTTTGAGTCCCAGTAATAATGCAACTTGCAACACATTATCTAGACTGTTTATTTTCAAGTTTTTCATATGTATATAGATCTACTTGATTTTAGCCATTTTTAGAGTTTAAAATTTTATAATTAGATATGAAAATAGATTTTGAGATAATCCTAAGAATGTTTTACACCAAAATTACATGTTATTTTAAAATTTAGAGGTGCGTCTTAATTGGATTGTTTAAGGTTGTAACCTTATAGAAACCACGCCCATATACAAATGATAAAAAATAAGGGTCAGGATAGGCCAAACTGAGTCGGGCTCATTTTCGCCTGCTCACACCCTAGTTTTTTTAGTGCCGGGCTACTAGGCCTATTGCTGCCCCTATTTCTACGACGAGCCACCGTTCGCACACTCATGCTTACAAATATGTGGATGGACTGCTAACCGACTATATGAATTTGAAAGAAAGGATCATGTATTTACCTTCCATTTTGAAAGTATACAATAAGATAACAAATTATGTTAGCCAATGGATGTTAAATTGGATGATTGGAATGTATGCTATGACTAAACTAAAGTTTATAATTTTTCTCAAAGTTTGCCATGCACGGCTAGAAATTATTGTAACCCTCTTGTACTAAAGGCAAATAATCTTATAATAGTATACAATCCCTTGTAATTTTATATGGACATAACCAGGTCTTCAATACTTATTAGAAAGAAAAATAAAAAACCGAAAATAAAGAAAGTCCTTGATCATTGAAGTCAATAGATTGAATTGAAGGTCCTTGATCGTCCATTGCTACTCTGAGAGAATTGAAGAACCTCTGTCATATCGACAAAGAGATATAAAGGCCCATATAATAGATCCATACGATCATTACCTTTTTTCGAATGTTAACATTACTTAATTAAGAATGAAATTTCTACAAGGCCAAAGCTTTATAAAAACAAAATAAAGCCTCACCTCAAGTCCTCGTCAGCAAAGTACTTTGGTGATGGAAATCTCTATGATGGCACTATAATCAATTTCCAACGCCGAAATAAATTTTGAAACTCAAAAAATGGTACATAATTTGCGGATCGATAAGCACCTATTTTTAAAGCAAAATGGCCCGTCCTCCGCATCCGATACCTGAATTTGGATCCTATTCGGATGTGAGTATGGATCCAAGATTTGGATTCAAAATTCAGTTTCAGATCCAAAATACATATTCGAATACAAATTCGAATCAGGTCCGAATACAGGTGGATCCAATCCGGATCCAACCCAATAGATATATATATATAGTAATGATCCTATGAGACCCTCACACACCCATGTGTGTAGGACTCCAAAGGATCACTATTAAATTTGGTACGGATATCTAGAAAAAGGTCAAGTCCCATACCCATGTGATAACTTTTCTAGAGATCTGTGCCAAATTTAATGGTGATCCTTTGAGGTCCCACACACATGGGTGTGAGAGGGTCTCATAGGATCATTACTCATATATATTTATTAATGAGAAACTCAAGGTTTCTTTGGACCCTCGCATCTCTTTCTCTTTCTAAACTCAAAACTTATGATTTCTTTGCAAATCAGTGGAGAATTAGGGTTTATAGGAGGGAAAAGGTGGAGTAATGGTGATATGAGTGGTGGTGAGAGAGAGGCCAAATCTTATACAGTTTCTACAATACTTAATAAGAGGCGTCTTCGATGGAGAGGAAGAAGCCCTTCTGAGTTGGACAAAAGAGAAGAATAAAGGGGAAGCAAAATGTAGATTGTGAATGCTTATCTTATGATAGTCTCGACTGTATTCTTAATGGGGTTACCTGCCTTCAAACTCAAGGAGAAGGCAGGGTTTCTTCTGGTTTTGTTTACTGGTACTTTTCTCCTATCACATTAGGATCTAGGGTTTTTCTTTTCTTTTTCTTTCCCTATATTTGGATCAACTTTCTTTCAATCATAATTGGGGGTTTCTATGTTGGTTTCCGTCATCCACTACACTGTACACGCCAATTTTTAGAGAGAAAGAAGAGAAGATTGGTGCCCTTGAAGGAGAGAGAGGAGGAGGAGATAGAGAATTAGAACATTTTTTAGAGATGTTTACATCATGCAGAGTGAGAGATTAATAATGTTTTTAGCAGTGTAGGAGAAAGAGAGAAATACATTTTTGAGGTGAGAGGTACATATGGCACCATGGTAGAGAGAGAGATGGAACATAGTGTAAAGAGAAATGTTTCATCTAGACGCATGTGAGAGGGAGAATTCAGTCTTTTTTTTTTTTTTGAGAAAATTACACAAATTTCATTAATAAGTACAAAAAATATTACATAATTGTAAGAACTGATTAAAAATTTAAAGTCTTATAAACAAACAAAGTATCCAACTGAAGTCCCCTCTTCGCTAGAACATCAACAACTTCATTCGCCTCTCTATAAATGTGATGAACTAAGGTTTGCAACTGTCCTTAAATCCATTATTTCCATCCACTTACTTCAACGCCTCCAAGGTGAACAAGAGCATATGTTACACCAATTAATGATATTGAGCGAATATCCCTCCACAATACATGTTGTGAATTGGAATCTGTTTTTAATAATTCAAAGTCCTTGTAACAACGCCTCCATTTCCAGATATTGCAGTTTCCACTCCACATGGCCTAGCATAACAAAGAACGATATTTCTATTTGAATCTCGAATAACATCTCCAAATCCCACCTATCCTAGATTTCTAAAAGAACTCCCATCAAAATTCATCTTAATACTGCCTATCAATGGTAGACTCCAAACACTTCTCATTCGAACCTTCCATACCTTTTGTCTTATCAAATTATGCAAATTCAATTCTACATCAACTTCTGAAAGTCGAAAGCCTTATTTAGTGTTAGTAATCCAACTCCAAATACAGTGAATAATCCTTCTTTCTAACTCAAATCTCTTCAATCATTTTTCCCTCAAACACCCTTAGATTTTTCTCCTTCCATATCTCCCCATAAGACAGTCCCCTTCACTATTTTCCATATAAGATTTCCCCCTTTTGAAAGATAATAAAAATCCTATTGATTTAACATATCCATATGTGAAGAAGGAAATACCATAACAAATCCCAATTTCTGTAAAATCCAACACCAAATATTATAAGCCAAAGAACAATAAAGGAAAAGGTGATCTCCTGTCTCTTCGGCTGTCGTACATATCAAACACATGTAAACCATAATTCTTCTCCTTTTTCATCAAATTATCAACAGTTAGTGTTTTGTCTTGAAATAATATCCACAAAAATAGCGTATATTTTAACATAATTATCCAACTCCATAGTTTATTTAAAGAACTACAACCCCATCGCAGTCGATCATAAAATAATAAACTATATGCAGATTTCACATTAAAGTTCCTGTCATTTTCTTCCTCACATGCCAATTCATCATCAATAATTTGTTTGTGAAATATCATAATCATGCAACATGGTTAATAATGATTAATAAATCTTGATTAACCAATTTAATAATAATGATTAATAAAGCCTAATAATAATGATTAATAATCATTAAAGTTCCCGTCACTTGCTAATAAAGCTTGATTAACCAATTTAATTCTCCTTAAACCCAAACCACCATTTTTTTCAGAGTGCATACTCTTTTCCAATTAAGTAAATGAAAATTTCAAGCATCCCCATATGAACCCCATAAAAAATTCTTCGTGAGTTGTTCCAAATGTTTACAAACTGAACTTGACATCACTAATAAGGACATCAGATATCGGTATATTAGATAATGATGCTTGAATCAAAGTCACCTTGCCTCCCAACTATAGGTGTTTTGTTTTCCACAAATCTAGCTTAACATATGCTCTCTGAATTATAACGTCCCATACCATTTTTGGTAATTTGGAATATGAAATTGGTACACGTAAATAAGTTATTCGAAATTTATCCACCTTACAACCCATTTCAAATGCTAATTCATCCATAACATTATTAAAGAACCCATACCAACCAAAGAAATCTTCTCAAAGTTCATCTTTAATCCCAACACCATTTCACAATATTGGAGCATTCTTTTGATACTTTTAATTTCATCTATTTGAGTTCCACAAAAAACCAACATGTCATCTGTGTAATCCAAATGTAAAATAACTAACCCTCCATCATTGTCAACCTTAAAACCATTGAACCAGTATCGTGAATGTACATTAGAGACCATTAAACTGAAAGCCTCAGCGACCATAGTAAATAAGAAAGGCGATAATGGATCCCCTTGCCTCAATCTTCTAGTAGATTTTAAAAATCCTTTCGGACTACTATTTACTAAGATCAAGAAATAAGCACTAGAAAGACATCTAGAAATCCAAGATCTCAACTTATCACCAAACCCCATGTATTTC